CTGGTAGTGTTTTTCTTTTTCTCTTCACCAGGATAGACGGAAATCACCGGGTCGGTCAAATTCGGGTGGGGGGTTCATGTATGTGAGTGTGTGTGATAATGGGATGGATAGGTTGGAAGACAGAAGGTAGGGTGGTGGGGGGAAGGCGGACGGAGGAATATCCTCTCGCAGCACCAAGAGCGCATCAGGGAGGGAAGATAACATCAAAAGCCATGAAACTAGAATATTTTGACCTTGCCCTCTTCTCTCTCGGTTCATCCTCGCTTGGTTCTGGACATCACTGAATGGCCCAGAGATAGGCCACTTATGGTCCGATAGACGGGCTCATTTCCGGATATTCCCCCTATGTGTAATTCTACATTTTCGCTTCCATTTTCCGCGATTTGTCCCAAGTACCTCAATGAAGAGAATATTTTTGTTCAGCATGTATTTGCACTATGTGCGATAGCCAGGCTCATTTCTGGATACTTTTATACGTGTATTTCTACGTCTTCTATGCTGCCGATTCTCGAGAACTGCCTTAACAAGTACGCCAATGAAGAGACTATTTTTGTTCAACATGTGTTTGCAGGGTGGTGTGCAACACCGGGCGAGAACAACCCTACCCGCCATGTCATCATCTCCGCCTTTGGTCCCAAAGTCGTCTTCCTCATGCTTCATCGTGCTAAAGTTGGCCTAAATGCCAGCAGCTAGGACCAGATACCTTTTCCTAACTTCTGGCCCAGAAACTGGCGCAAAAGACACAATCCTTTTGATCTATGCCACCATAGATGTATCACCCATCCAGCCTCATTCTCTCAAACATATATCATCCTGGTAATCCAGTCCAACAAGATACACTAATGCCTTCCATCGTTGGTCGATCGTTCGCTCGCTCGATTTCCCAAAAGCCAGAAAGAAATCCGGACGCATCCAGTTTAGGGCCCTATGGCCTTGTTGCTGCAGGGGCCCAGTCCAGCCATTTGCTTCGAGCCCGTGCCTTTGGAGAAGCTCGTTGATGGCACCTTGCCTGCGGGGCACGTGGCGTCCTTGTCCAGCCTGCCTTCGGTGATGATGATCTTGGTACACGGCGTGAACGGCGACCCGTCGTCGAAGACCCAGCCGGCGCAGTTTTCGCTTCCGAAGCAGTCGTTGCAGCAGGCCTCTGCGGATGTCAACGACGAAAACTCATTCTTAGTCCCGGGACTGCCTGTGCCCGCCCACATTATATCCTCGAAGAAGGTCGAGGCATCTTTGCAGTCGGTTCGGATGATGTTCTAGAAGACAGGTTAGCGTTGTCTCTCTGGAGAAGGGAGTGAGCGAACGTACCGTTGGTGTTGGTACACCTGAGGAAGTGGTGGATGTTGTGGAGGAAGATGCGGTAGCGCTGCTGCTACTGCTGGTGCTGTTGGCGGCAGCATCGGGTGATGAATCAGAGCCACTGGAGTTGGGTCAGCGGTATGTCAATCGGGTGAAGGGGTCCAAGTATCTTACTATGACCCTGTGAGAACACCCATGGCCCCGAGAATGGCTAATAGCACAGCGAGGACGCCGAGAAGTGTGACGCAGAAGATGAGCCATTGCAGTTTGGTGATCTTCCTGTACCAAGGAGTTCCGCGGGGCTCGACCCATACATCTTCCCTCATTTCGAATTCCTTAGAGTCGACTCTGTAGGGTAGATGATGTGTAGAAGACGCCCGGTTGGTGTGGTCGGTCATGGTCTCGCTATTCGTACCCTCGTGGTTCTGGGTGGGAGTGGGTGATGATGGTGCTGCGACTGTTGCTCCGAATATTCTTGACTGTCGACCGTCATTGACGACTACCATCTCCGGTGGAGGATTGTCCCAGGTCTCTGCGTACTGATATTCCTGCCGATAGGCCTTGTATTCTTTCTGTGCCATTGGTGGCGGGGGTGTGAGGGATGCTGGCAGCCCAGAGAGTGGTCGCTCTCGGGGCTCCGCGATCTGGGATGGTGATGACGGCATGTTTAATTGGAGGCTTGGTGCCGCGAAGATTTTGAGATCTAATTGAAATTAGTTTTGGATTATGCTGTGGCTGACCTGCACCGTTAAGTCAACCATGGTAGTTTCAAGTCAGCAGCGGGGTGTGCTGTGTTTGGACGAGCGTCGGTTTGGTGCAGAAATTCGGGAGCGAAATGCGTCACAGGAAAGAATTGCTCAATTTTTGAAACCTTCGGGTAGGCTGGTATGCGATGGAAAGAGATTCCTGGCAGAGAAAATGACCACTTACAAGGTATGGCTCTCCGGCCGGTTGCAGGAGGTCGGCCGTAGGTGACACGAGAAATGACGAGGAGTTCTTGAGATCCAGTTTGCTGGCGGTTGGGATATTGAACTGTGCCAGATCAAGCAAGAGCCTTGCAACTACCCGTCACACAGATTGATATGAGTGAATATCTGTTGAGTTGTTGGAAGAAAACACAAGATGAAAAGTGGAGGAGTGAGGCAGTTCAGGCAACGGCCACCAGGGCAGATGTCGTCCAGATACCGAACTTGCGAGGCCGCCAAAAATTGAGAAAGAAAGAGATGATGGACCTGATATCTTGGATTCAAGAAGATAGATGGCGGGTAGCCGATGTCTTACTTGTGAAACGGTGACTTGTAACTTGTAGCACGAGAGACCCGCGACTCCCATGCCAATGGTCTCTCATCAAGGGGGAGGTTCATTGGCGGCGATTGTCAAATGGAACAATAACAACAGAACCATGGCCTTGTGTAATAGAAAGGCACAACAATCCCCGGGTTTGAATGGGTAGTATTGCTCAGTAGGTACTCTTGGGAGCATCGGTTGCGCAGTGCAATGGCAGCAATCGGACAGGACGGGATTGCATGTCCAGTGATTGTGCTTCGGGGCCGACGATGGCAAACAGAAGAACACCTGGACTTGGCCATCGCATGATCATCAAGTTCCGTGCGAATAATCTGTGATAAACGTCATGGTCACCCGATAAGCCCGATTTTGAATTGAGAAGGAACCAGAACGACAGAACATTCCAGCGGAAAAAGGGAGGGGGTTTGGCGGGACATGCTCGTGGTGGTTCTTGCCTGGGCCAGCATTGTAACGGCCACAGCAAATCTCGATCGCGCCGTGGATCCGACATCTAAACCCTGATGTCAACCCATGCTGTGTTGTACTTGTGTGAGACGGGTGCGCGAGAACCATCGTCTACCAGTCGATTGCACAGTACAAGCAAGATGCCAGACCTAACACGGAAACAGGAAGAACAGAGAAAACACAGGGAACGAGTTTAACGGGAACTTTGCAGTTGAGGTCTTGATGTTTCTTTCCTCTGACCAAAACTCCTGCTTCCAGTGAATGGATGACCAACTACTAACCCCTCCCTCGATGTCTCGCCCCAGTCGCACACACGTCGTGACAACTTGTTCCTCGGGTTTCTCCGCCAAACACTCACTCCTGCCCAAAATGCCCCTGAAGAATCGTCGACGACAGTATCTGGCTCGCCTCTGCGTGTTACAGACCTCGGAACAGCTCCGGTGAGGATCAATTTCGGCCATCACTCATCCCGAACTAACGTGGCAACCCATACATCCATCGTCCTGGTATCTTGTACGTTTCCGACCTTCTCCACCGCAGAAATAGTGGCATCTCTCGCTGCCCTCAGCATAGCCTTCACCCTCTCGCTCTCGACGCCTTGTTCAATATCCTCCCAAAAGCTCTCACTCACTACCGTCGATGTCTCCCAGAATCCATCAGCCAGCTCCTTCTCCGGCACCACGAGTCCCTCTTTTTCCACCCTCCACCCAGCAGTTTTCGCAGCTTGTTTGATATGCTCAGGGCTCACCAAACGCTGTATGTTCGCCGTGCTCGGTCCCTGTCGATTCGCTTCCAGTCCCGCTGTCGCCAGTGCAGCAAGCACGTGGGGTACTGCTTCCGGCTGAGAGGCACCGAGAGCATACTCGGCAATACATACTCTCTTGACCTTTCCGCATAGCGTCAAGAGCATATCATGTAGCGCGGATGGATCGGGAAAGTACCATATGCAATGCGCCAAAACTGCGACATCCCATTTCTTTTCTCGCGGTTGGGAGACCAGAAACTTTATTGGGTCAGCCTGGTGAAAGGTGATGAGATTGCCAATCTCCGGGGAGGAGACAAGATGGGCATGGGCTTGGGCGAGGGTGAAAGGGGCGCCATAGGAAGGCGGTGCAGGATCTATCGCATCAACATGTCCTGCCTGAGCAGAGACGGCTTCGGCAAGGACCGCCGTGCACGTTCCTTGACCGCAGCCGATCTCGAGGATGCTACTCGTTCTAGCATTGATGGCCTCTGGGGACCACTTGTTGACCAGGTTGAGCCGGTGAGTTGCCTGGGAGAGCTCAATGGCCTGGCTGGCTGGGGAAGGGCCTGTTGGCGGCTGGATGTGGTAGCCTGCAATTTTTGAGGCCAACGTGAGCGGTAGGTGAACAGTTTCCGATGAACTAGCCATTTTTCTAGCTGTGGCTTTGACTTGGGAACTTGATATCCGATTGGAAGCGGCGTATAGAGGTGAGTCTCGCAACCTACCTGCTATTTATCCTCCCATCGAGATGCGAAGCTTGAGATGCGATCCTTCAACATCCTAAAAAGGCAGGTTGCATCAACAAAAATTAGCCCCCATTGAGGACGGCGGTTGCATTTCGTGATGACATGACCTCTGCTGCTCAGCCTCTGTAAACCAAAAAATTGATTGAGTTGCTTACTTCTCGACATGCTAAGGGGGTGAGTCACTTGGACGTTGGATTAGGACACTGATGCAGGTGGTAGATGAGTAAGCTGCAAAACCCGAATATGCACCCTCATTGCGCTTGCAGAGACGACCTATCCAGCGCATTGTCTTATCAGAATTTTCGTAGGGCTCGTCTAAATATTTTCTGGACTCCAAACCTGGCGGTTACAAGACATAATGTCAACACTCTTTGGAGTCTTGATATTGTCTCATCCGGTCAGCCCCTTTCATAAACCCTTTGCACAGAGTCCATCCACATCTCAATCAAGCAACAAATGCCCGCTTGGCTCAGTGGTAGAGCGTATCACTAGTAAAAAAGATGTGGATTCTCTCAAAGATTCCCAGACTTTAAACCGGGTTCAATGATAAGGTCATCAGTTCGATTCTGATAGTGGGCAAGATAACTCTGTCATTCATGACTAGCATTTTTGCGTGTTTCTCTATTTTTTATGCCTTGTCTTAATCCCGCTGTGGTGTTAAGTGCCTTTCGCCTTGATTGAGACTTACCCAACCAACGTCCTCACTCTCAAGCGCACACTCCTTCCTCCACTTCTCTCCGTCCTGACTTTCGGAGATCTCAACTCCCACCATCCATCTTCTCCCCATCAGCTATCCTCAGAATTTGAGCCTGCCAAAGGAGTAACAACCCCACTCTCATCCACAAACCTCCCCGCCTGCTTCTTTGCCAGATCCCTCGCCTTTTTTTCTTCCTCTTCCGTCTGGAATTGTTCAGGTATGTACCCTCTCAGCACCCTGTCCACATAACTCTTCGGGATTCCTTGCTCCAACGCGTCGTCGATACCGTGGTTCATGCGCACGATATACTCGTCCCGTGGCTTGAACCCCGGTTTGTTGCGCTTAAAGTCGATGTAGACTAGCATTTCTACCACTTTTCCTTCTCCCCTCTCCTCCCCCTCTGCTTCCCTTTGACCTTCCGTTTTCTCTTGACGAGAGTTGGAATTGGAGTTGGAGCTGGAGTTGGTGGCAGAGTTTGAGTTGGACTCGGGCTTGCAGGGCCAAAACTCAACCCCAACCATCCGCTTCTCATACGCCTCCGGAACCCCCTCGTTAACATCCAGCTTTGCCTCGTCGGCTGGGGTCAAGTCGTAGACTAGGCCCCATACTTCTTCTTCTTCTTCTTCTTTTTCTTCTTCAGAAGTAACGGGGGCAACGTTGGCATACCCCCGCGAGTTGATGAACCACGTGTATCCCTTCAAGCGGCCGATGCCTGTAAAGATTGAGTCGGGGCAGCGGCGGCGCATTTGGTCCAGCCTTTTTTTTTTTTTTTCACTCGTGTCAGTCACTGATGACATGAAAAGGATATATATGGGGAGGTGCTTACCAGAGATTGGAGCCATAGCCGAAATATGGTTTGGTTTTTGGTTGTTGATGTGTTGAACCCATTGCTTTGATGGTTTTGACTGAGGGATGTGATGAAACAGTGAGGGAGGTAAGCTAACGAGAAGAAATGCTCGAAAGAAACGGTATTACAAGACAAATAATCTTTTGAGCTCGTTCAATTTTTCTTTCTCAAACTTTAAACAAAGTTGGAAATTAAGCATACAACATGAATCTACAGTCATGACATGCAGGCAACAGAGTTGAACCATTGAGTGAAGCACGCACAAACGCACGCAAGCAAGCGGGGTTTTCCCCTTATTATTGGCTGTCGCAGAGAGCTAGCATTAGACCCTAACCCTCCAAGTACCGAGGGATATCAACCCCTTTTCTTTGTCTCTTGTCTGTTATCATATATTGGCAGAATAAACACCCGTAAAGATAATGATCCCTCGAAAGGAACCAAACGAATCGAAAAAGCCACACCTTGACGGCCAAATAAGAATGCTGCAAAGAAAGCCTGATAGAAGCAAAGTTTACAGCACATTTGCTCAGCAAACCTCCCCTCAACCCCTTTCCCCCTTGACTGACTCCCACCCCAACAACATCCTCACCACCCACCACGAGACCCCTCCCCCGAGTCGAGACATCCTAAACACCCCCCATCTCAGGACCCCCAACAACCAACCCCTTCTTCCTAGCCTCATTCAGCGCCTTCAACTTGGCCGTCCCGATCCCCGCGACTCCATCCGCCTGGTTATCCCCCAACCACGGCTTCTTGGAATCCCCCAGCAGCGTCCCGACCAAGAAATACACCACCATGCCGCAGATAATCAGCACAAAAGCAATCGGGTACATCCAATGGATAGAATACCCAAACACCCTCGTCCCAATAATCACTCCCCAGAAATTCGCCGTCAAAAGATTAACATCGAAAATCGCCGCGCTGCCCATCCGCAGAATCAACGGCACCAGCGAGTAGAAAATGAACAGGCAGAAGGTATACCCGACCAACCACCCCGCCACATCCCCGTTCCAGGTTGCACCCGCAAAGCTGTTGCGATCAAAAATCCCGGCTTGGACGCCGTTGATAATAATCCCAAAGATCCCCATGAAACCCAAAACTTCGTACATGGGTCTTTTGCTGACGAGGAATTCTTCAAACACGTTGCTTATTCCGTAAAGTGTCGCCCCCAACAGGCCAAAAAGGTCGCCTTTGAGCATATTCTTCCCGCTTCCCCCATTCGATCCCTGGATGTGGTCACTCGCCAACAACACGCCCATCCCGCCGCAGCAGATGAGGATACCCACGATCTGCACCCAGCGATACCGGACTTTTAACAGAAAAAACGAGATGACCACCACGCAGACGATGGACCAAAAGTTGAGCAGTTGTGCTGACAAAATATTGGTGTACTCGTAGGCCAAGACAGTAAAGTAGTTCCCCTCGACGTCGAGAAAGCTGAGGATGAGGTACTTCCAGCCGTCCCGAACGGCAATGGACCACCACTTGCGCCAGCCGTACTTGTAGATGCTAAAGGGGAAGTAGACCAGCGTCAAGAGGCAGTAGTTGAAGAGGGTTTGGAAGGCCGGGATGATGGTGTTGACCCCCGACAGGAAAGAAGTAAAAGTGTTGGAGCCGGTTATGCACAACGCCAACAGCTGGCCGAGGGCGATGATGGCCCAGAAGTCGAGGGTCAGGAGGTACGAGTACCAGTGCACGTCGCGGGTTTCCAGGTGGTGCAGCCCCGCGGCTACGGCGGCGGACTCGGAGTCGCTAACGTCGGGGCTGCTGTCGACTGCCGCGGTGGTTGCGGTGGCGCCGTAGTCCCCGTCGACGTCGGACTTTTGGAGCACGGGCTCAGTGGTGTTTGAGGCGGACATGATAGTGTTTGGTGGTGTGTCTCGAACTAAAAGAACAATATACTGAAGCTGTTTCTACAGATCCCTTTCGCCGATCTATACAGGTTTGGATATATGTTCCGTTCGGTTATGATAAATTTGATATGAAGTTTTTTACGCAGAGAGATATCTGTTGATATTTTTTTTCTCTGAATAAAGTCTTTCTTACGTCCCCTCGAGCAAGCGCAAAGACTTAAAGTCGCCTGCCGTGAAGTTACTGACGTCTGGGTCGGCGCATCAAGTCGTGCGCCGATGAGTTGAGAAAGTCGAGGGGCGCTGATCTCGAAAAGGACATATGGGTAATCAGGATATTCAAACGGGAAATAAATTGAAAAACACAGATGAGCCTGTCTTTTCCTGGATATTGCTGGTGTTGCAAATTGTGAAGGACGTGTGAGAGCTTCACAAGAGACAAGGAAAAGCTAAAAATCTTTCTCCGCGGATTCTAGACCCCACACTGACACAGGCTCAAGGTGAGAAGGAGAGCTCCGTTGATGAAACGAATGGACGAATCAGAATGACCGAATGACCGCCAACTTGGTGTGGAGGTGGAAGGAAAGATATGGAGAGGGTCGAGAACCTTGGAAAAAAAGGTTTGAAAATTGCTTCTGAGGAGTTGCAGGGCCGGGATTGGTCGAGCGGCCCGATGCCGTTAAGGTGCGCAGCGGACTTGGGCTTGGCGCCAATCCGGAGCTTGGGGGGTTTCCCGGGGCGCGTCTTGGGCCTGCGGGACGCCGGTTTCGGTGGGGCCATCCCGGAGCTGCCATCGGTTTCTTGCACGTATTTTGTACGACTACCCTCGACAGAGAAATGGGTTGTCGGATACCAATTACGATGGACATATTCTTCATCGGAAGTGGCCTGGCGGACTTTAGTGTCTAATCCCCGGTTTCATTCGCTGTCATGTCCATATTGAGGTCGACTCTTGGAGACCTCGGGAATAAGACTTGAGATTGTGATGACAAGTTGGCGGTATGGCTTCGCGACAACATCAAAATTAGGACTTGGTCGTTGATCTTCCGAAGAATTGAGGTCACTGTCTTCCCGGCTGACTGAGGTTTCCGGAGTTAGTGGTTATGTCCTGTCCCCTGACATTGGAACATATCACAATGGGAAGCATCAAGAAGACGACACTGTTCTGTCACGGTACTGACCGTGACTTTCCCTGTGCCGTCTTGAGAGCTGGGCTGGCTGCTTATCCCACCAGCCAGCTGCCCCGCCAAACCTTCTCTCCTTCGTACAACCTTGTCCATAACATGTCCAGAGCGTCAGGAGACATAGATATAAAGGTGTTGCCCTTCGAGGCCGAAGGTTAAATCGAACTGTTGAGATGTTCAACACCAACCGGCTAAATACCAGCATCAGTCAACCACATCAGGAATCCCTCACAATGGCTCCTTCGACCTACCGTAAGCTCCAAGATGAGCACGTCCTGATTATCGGTGGCTCCTCAGGAATAGGATATGCAGTCGCCGACGGCGCCCTCGCCTCTGGAGCCAAGGTCACCATCTGCTCCTCGTCCCAGGCCAAAATCGACGCAGCAGTCGCCCGTCTCCGTTCCGAGTACCCCGAGCATAGCATCCACGGCGTTTCTCAGGACCTATCCGTTGAAGCAACCATCGAGTCTGACATTGAGTCTTTATTCGAGAAGGTCCAGGCGACGCAGGGCACCATCAATCATGTAGTCTTCACCGCAGCCTCCCCCCTCTCGCTCGGAGCGATAGAAAACATCTCGGCAGATCTCATCCGCGCAGCCGGGCACATGCGCCTCGTCGTTCCGTTCCTCGTGGCCAAAATCGCGGCAAATCACCTCCCCAAAACCAACAACTCAAGCATCGTTCTGACGAGCGGGTCCGTCTCAGAAAGGCCAACGCCTGGGTGGAGTCTGATGAGCTACTTTGGTGGAGGATTGTCGTCGGTAGCAAAGGGGCTAGCGGTTGATCTGGCGCCCACGAGGGTAAATGTCGTGCGTCCTGGTTTCGTGGATACTCCGCTGTGGACAGAGGAGCAAAAGGCCTTCATGGCCAAGATTGTCGAAGAGAAGACGTTGACTGGCAAAGGCGGCACGGCCGAGGACGTCGCCGAAGCGTACTTGTGGCTGCTGAAAGATCGAAATGTAACGGGCACGGCTGCGGCGACGGATAGCGGTGCTCTGCTT